AAATGTCCATACCGGGCTTTAGAGACAGTAAAACTTAACTATTCTAAAGAGATATTATAATGCTTCCAAGTTGAAAAAGAGTATGACTTTGATTTTTATTGTGTGAAATACAAGTAATAAATATAAAAGGTAACTTTCAATTTAGCAGTAAATGCTTAAGTTAGTTTTAGGTAATGTAAACTATATAAAAAACTCAAGAATTTGAAAGGTATAAATTTCATTATTTCTATTGATAAAGGTTATTCTAAAAACTTCCTTTTAGTTTAGCAGTGAATACTAAGTTCATTTTGAGTATTGTACCAATAAAAAAAAAGAATAACGAAGGGTTAAACTTTATTATTTCTATTGATATAAGTTTGCAAATAAAGAGTTTGAGTTTGAAGTAATTAAAGAAAAAGGTACTTTCAATTTAGCAGTAAATACTAAGTTAGTTTGAGGTAATGTAACAATATAAAAAACTCAAAAATTTGAGAGGTATAAATTTTATTATTTCTATTGATATAAGTTGTTCTATAAAAGGTCGTTTTAATTTATCAGTGAATACTAAGTTCATTTTGAGTTTGTACCAATAAAAAAAACTCAAGAATATCAACGGTATAAACTTTATTATTTCTATTGATATAAATTATCTTATAAAAGGTATTTACTTTCAATGTAGCAGTAAATACTAAGTTTGTTTTGAATATTGTACAATTTTTGTTTTCCATTGTGTTATAGTTTTATTTTTAACTATATTTATCCATGTCCTGGTTGATAATTGGAATAATTACTCTGTAAATAAAAAACAATTGTAAAAAGTACCAAATGTGTTTTTATTTATAAATAACAGAACAACTATCGATAAAACTATAAAAGTAAAGGCACATCACTACTTTGTTTTTTGTTCGTTGGGTCGGAGTCTGGTTTCAAGTGCTGTTTTTGTTATCAACAATGGGGTCTTTCATTAGTTTGTTTACATAAGTAGGGCAAGGGCAGTTTAGATATATGATTCTCTGCATCTATCCGTTTTTTCTTTTATTTTAGATCGTAAAGTAGTGTAAACTTTGGGCATCTCAAAAAAATATAACGTATTGTTAATTGCCATAATTTTTGTACCTGACTGAAAGAAAATATCAATTAGTAAATTATCGTTCACGCAATGATAATTAATGGTTTGGCTACAGCGTAATATATTTTTTGTCGCGCCGAAGTCATTTTGATTTGAGCCGCCTTTCGTTAATCTATGACGTATGATGACAGGTATCAAATTTCATTGTGTTTTTCGAGTGGATAAAGCGGCGGACTGCAACCCATTATATTTTTATGTCGTGACACTTCAAAGAGGTATGAGTTTCATAGGTACGTTTAGGGGCTGTCTTATGAATCGAGACCCTCTAAAAGAGCAGCAAATTTTAAAATTATGTAGCTGTAAACACCGCCTTTATAAGGACAATATATACTTGATACTTTAATTAAACATATTAATGAAACATTATAAAATAACCAACTTTAAAATTAAAGGGTCAATATGGTCTCAATACTGCTATATATATAATAAATATTTTTTTAATCTCATAGCTCTGAGATTTATAGACGGATTTTGATGATCGATAAAGATTATTTGATTTACTAATCTTCGGTATCTAATAACTGGCAGTTTATCCTAATTTATAGGAAAATACCTATCATTGATGACATCTGTTCGAAATATTTCTTCTTGTGTGTCAACCATAGAGGTTTATGGTGTCAACAGCTCGTTTGATAAGTGTATCATCTAATATATAAGTATAGTATAACTAAGTGTATAATCTAGTGACATTTTAAAAGATCAATTGTGTTTCATTTTTTATTATATTTCTACTTCATCTACACTTTCTGAAAGAAACCAACAGTCATGTTTATGATAATAGTAAAAAAATAGGTGCCAAAACAAACCAAACTATCAAAATTGACCCACCCAACAACTCATCAATTTTGAAAAAGTGGCAGTTCTAAAGTTGCCATTTACAAAACTTAAAAAATAGGAGGATCACTATTCATTGGGCACACAGACAGTTGGAAGTAAAACTGTGTGTCGTGATAATATGTCGACGAAATGTATGAAACCGATACCTTTCCGACGCGTCGTGACACAATACGACAGATTGATGACAATCTCTCCTTTTCATTTCCCTCAAAAGTATGATAAAGATAACCTGCACTGAAGTGAAGTGCTGGCATTACATTAGCGGGTTAGCCAGGGTTTCTAAAGTAGCGGCTTTCCCGCAAATTCAGGGGGTAATTAAGTACGATGGGATTTTAGAGGTTTTATATTTTTAGTAATTTTAGGGGATTTTTGACTCTTCATTTTTATTTTTGACGTGAAAACTCCTTAAGTTTCGCTGTGTTTTAAGACTCGACGAAATGAATAAGCGACGGTATGTACCAAAATATCCGTAATTTTGTCACTATGTAATGCCCGCACTTCACTAGGGATATTTATTTCTGAAAGTTGATAACACTGCTCTACCCTGACGTATGACGTTTAAATTTTGACAAATAAACATTATAAATACGATTCGATTCTCGGTTGTATTGTTATTTTTTTACTTAATTTCCAATGTGATTAAATGTTTTATAAATTCGAAATGTGGTGAAGCTTTTTATGAATCTTATTTACCTAATACTCACAGTTTATTAATTATTAATAATCATGTCGCAAGAACTTGTAGAAATGGCAATTGAATACATTGGGCCAGACAATATGTTGATTCTAGAACCATTAAAAGATCACAATTATCACACGTAAGTGTTTATTGGTTATAAACTGATAAATGAATTAATTAAGTGAAGCGTCATATCCCTGGCCCATCAGCTATGAAATTCAAACATCTTATTTTATAGGTTTTTATGTGTAACCCATTTATTATTGTTTTGACCTTATTTTGAACTTTGCATTATACGTAAGTAACCAGTTTTCCTAATAAATGGAAGTGTTCACTGACATTTATCTTCAATGCTCGCTCACCCATCAATCACTGGAGTCTACTCCTTTTCCTCTCTTTATTTCTCTTGATTCCTTCTATCAACTACGACTACTAAGGCGACTCTCTTTCTCTACCAAAATTTTTCCTCAAGCCAAACTCTGCCTGATCTTTTTGTCTGTTCATCATCAGCCTATTAATGTCCCCACTGCTGGGGCACAAAGCCTTCCCTATGGTTTGAATAGGGAGATTGGGCGGGTAATAACGACTGCATATGCAGCCGGGACCAACAGCTTAACGTGCCTTCCGAAGCATGGAGGCACTCGAGATAGAATATTTTTGGTCAGCCATCCAATAACCGACCACTGCCAAAGTTGCTTAACTTCAACAATCTCAGCCGAACGCGCTAACCACCTGCACCATCGAGCTCCTCATTTATTCATATTATATTATACTTGTCGTTCATTTCTTCATATTATATTTTATATGTGATGACCTTCGTGGCTGCTTGGTTTGTATGTCAGGTTTCAAAATGTGTCCTACTTGAGAGGTCTCTGATTCCAATCCCAGGGTAGGCTGATGTTTGTGTGATGAATACAAGCATTTGTACTCCAGTCATGGATGTTGAATATGTATTTCTATATAAATATACTTACTTATATATGTATTCTATCTGTTACCCTAGTATCTAATAACACAAGCCTATAGTGCTTACTTTGGGGCTGGGCTAATTAGTGTGAGTGTTGGCAATATTTATATAACCTTCTAAAAGACCTTGGTCTGTCAAGAACTGCAGTAAGTTAAATTTTGGAACGAGTAATTAAGGCTGCTCTAACAGGCTCCTATCAAATTTGGCTAAGAAGAGCGGGCATCTCGCTAGAGTTTGAGATGCTGGGTAAAAATTTCGTAGCACTGTTTCTCTCTATGCCGCATGATAGACCCAGCACACTGTAATATTAAAAAATAAAAAGTTTGAGAGAAATTTACTAAATGGATAGGTCGAAATTAATGAAAAAAAGAAGAATACTCGGGCGCCAGACCCATACCATATTATTAAACCATATTAGCCGGGAAAGCAAAGGACTATTAATCACAAGAGAAGGCTTGATTGCAAAACCATATTCATTTTGGGTTGTCGATTTATTTAAATTTACTACAAAACTACTTAAGTCCAAAAGGGTTACTGCTAAATTTAGAAACTACTTATTATACTATGGCTAGTAGCCATTTCATTTACATTTTAGTAGCCATTGGCTACTATTTTTACCTTATGGGTTCCGGTACAACAATGAATTTGGAAAGTTACCGAACTTGTTGCATCTGTGTAGTGGCTATGTCTGGTGTCAATTGTAATACTAAATGGATGGTGTGAAGTTGTTTGAAGAAACCAACAGTCATGTTTATGATAATAGTAAAAAAATAGGTGCCAAAACAAACCAAACTATCAAAATTGACCCACCCAACAACTCATCAATTTTGAAAAAGTGGCAGTTCTAAAGTTGCCATTTACAAAACTTAAAAAATAGGAGGATCACTATTCATTGGGCACACAGACAGTTGGAAGTAAAACTGTGTGTCGTGATAATATGTCGACGAAATGTATGAAACCGATACCTTTCCGACGCGTCGTGACACAATACGACAGATTGATGACAATCTCTCCTTTTCATTTCCCTCAAAAGTATGATAAAGATAACCTGCACTGAAGTGAAGTGCTGGCATTACATTAGCGGGTTAGCCAGGGTTTCTAAAGTAGCGGCTTTCCCGCAAATTCAGGGGGTAATTAAGTACGATGGGATTTTAGAGGTTTTATATTTTTAGTAATTTTAGGGGATTTTTGACTCTTCATTTTTATTTTTGACGTGAAAACTCCTTAAGTTTCGCTGTGTTTTAAGACTCGACGAAATGAATAAGCGACGGTATGTACCAAAATATCCGTAATTTTGTCACTATGTAATGCCCGCACTTCACTAGGGATATTTATTTCTGAAAGTTGATAACACTGCTCTACCCTGACGTATGACGTTTAAATTTTGACAAATAAACATTATAAATACGATTCGATTCTCGGTTGTATTGTTATTTTTTTACTTAATTTCCAATGTGATTAAATGTTTTATAAATTCGAAATGTGGTGAAGCTTTTTATGAATCTTATTTACCTAATACTCACAGTTTATTAATTATTAATAATCATGTCGCAAGAACTTGTAGAAATGGCAATTGAATACATTGGGCCAGACAATATGTTGATTCTAGAACCATTAAAAGATCACAATTATCACACGTAAGTGTTTATTGGTTATAAACTGATAAATGAATTAATTAAGTGAAGCGTCATATCCCTGGCCCATCAGCTATGAAATTCAAACATCTTATTTTATAGGTTTTTATGTGTAACCCATTTATTATTGTTTTGACCTTATTTTGAACTTTGCATTATACGTAAGTAACCAGTTTTCCTAATAAATGGAAGTGTTCACTGACATTTATCTTCAATGCTCGCTCACCCATCAATCACTGGAGTCTACTCCTTTTCCTCTCTTTATTTCTCTTGATTCCTTCTATCAACTACGACTACTAAGGCGACTCTCTTTCTCTACCAAAATTTTTCCTCAAGCCAAACTCTGCCTGATCTTTTTGTCTGTTCATCATCAGCCTATTAATGTCCCCACTGCTGGGGCACAAAGCCTTCCCTATGGTTTGAATAGGGAGATTGGGCGGGTAATAACGACTGCATATGCAGCCGGGACCAACAGCTTAACGTGCCTTCCGAAGCATGGAGGCACTCGAGATAGAATATTTTTGGTCAGCCATCCAATAACCGACCACTGCCAAAGTTGCTTAACTTCAACAATCTCAGCCGAACGCGCTAACCACCTGCACCATCGAGCTCCTCATTTATTCATATTATATTATACTTGTCGTTCATTTCTTCATATTATATTTTATATGTGATGACCTTCGTGGCTGCTTGGTTTGTATGTCAGGTTTCAAAATGTGTCCTACTTGAGAGGTCTCTGATTCCAATCCCAGGGTAGGCTGATGTTTGTGTGATGAATACAAGCATTTGTACTCCAGTCATGGATGTTGAATATGTATTTCTATATAAATATACTTACTTATATATGTATTCTATCTGTTACCCTAGTATCTAATAACACAAGCCTATAGTGCTTACTTTGGGGCTGGGCTAATTAGTGTGAGTGTTGGCAATATTTATATACTACTTAGTATATATATAGGTATACCAGTAAAATCTTTCTATAACCTTCTAAAAGACCTTGGTCTGTCAAGAACTGCAGTAAGTTAAATTTTGGAACGAGTAATTAAGGCTGCTCTAACAGGCTCCTATCAAATTTGGCTAAGAAGAGCGGGCATCTCGCTAGAGTTTGAGATGCTGGGTAAAAATTTCGTAGCACTGTTTCTCTCTATGCCGCATGATAGACCCAGCACACTGTAATATTAAAAAATAAAAAGTTTGAGAGAAATTTACTAAATGGATAGGTCGAAATTAATGAAAAAAAGAAGAATACTCGGGCGCCAGACCCATACCATATTATTAAACCATATTAGCCGGGAAAGCAAAGGACTATTAATCACAAGAGAAGGCTTGATTGCAAAACCATATTCATTTTGGGTTGTCGATTTATTTAAATTTACTACAAAACTACTTAAGTCCAAAAGGGTTACTGCTAAATTTAGAAACTACTTATTATACTATGGCTAGTAGCCATTTCATTTACATTTTAGTAGCCATTGGCTACTATTTTCATTTACATTTTAGTAGCCATTGGCTACTAAAATGTAAATGAAAATTTTACCTTATGGGTTCCGGTACAACAATGAATTTGGAAAGTTACCGAACTTGTTGCATCTGTGTAGTGGCTATGTCTGGTGTCAATTGTAATACTAAATGGATGTCGCTGTTACATCACGGGACTGTTCACTTTCTCATCATGGGAAATGTTGAAAGTTCATTATAAAATCCAAAATAAAAAAAAAACGCTTTTCGCGTTTTTTAAACAAATTAAGCTTGGAATGCGATATCCGCCATTCCGATCAAAAGCTGCAAAATGTTATATCATTAAAAACAATCGAAAATCCAATGGATTATCAACTTAAATAATGTGATTACTTATCCTGCATGTTGTAGGTTAAAATTTTGGTCGTGAAGTGAAGTGACAGTTCTTTTCTTAGTTTGTCTGGGCGGTAGGCAAAGAGAACAATGTCCATTCAGCCTACTGCTCGATAAAGGCAGAAACACACTTACCCAAAAGTGCACAGATTAAAGAAAATGGGCGCGAGATAAAAAACGACCAGAGAGACAACCAAAAAAATCTTCTATTTCGCTCTTCGAGCGAAGGAGGTCCATGTGACGTTTTTAACACGTTACAAGACGCACTGTGATTCCTTGGATTGCTAAGAAGTTTGTCTCTGTACTTACTATATTATAATATTTACATTTATTTTTACATTGCATTAGCCCTCCTACCATTAAACCCCATTAATCTCTCAATTAACACAAGAAACCTCTCTCGGAAAAAAAAAACACTGCTGGGGCCTTCCTTTGGGATGGAATAGGAAAATTGTTCCAATACCCACCACACTGGCCCAGTGCAGTGGCAATCGCAATTGGTGGGTGCTAACGACTGCAGATGCAGCCAGGACCAAAAGCTTAACATGCCTCCCGAAGCAAAGAGGAGTTTGAGATGAAAGTTTCAATGAATGTAGTTGAATGCTTTACCAATTGTTCCATCGAGGTTCTCTATTTAGAAAAACAAAACACAAATTACTGAAAAATAATCTGAGTAATTATATGCTCCAGGTCATCTCAGAGTGGAGCTGAAATAGAGACCAACACTAAAACCAGGTCAAGGAGAAGAGACAGTACAACTCTACCAAAAATCAGAAAACTGACGGCTCTGCACAACTGCAAACTCTGTGGTTACAGCACAATGAAAAGGGATGTCATCGAAGCCCACAGAGAAACGCACAAGACCATAAAACCTGGAACCAAGTACAAATGTTGTGATACCTGCAACGTCAACAAGAAGGTTCCCGTTGGATACCACAAATGTCCTCAGTGTAACTTTACCGCTAAAACGACAAGCAGCCTCAAAATTCACATGCACATACACGAAAAAGGAACTGCATACAAATGCACCGAGTGCAGCTTCCTGGGCAGGGATCTAAAGGACCTGGCGAATCATTACAAAACCGCGAAGACCTTTTGCGACCTATGCACGTTTTCTAGTCATTTAAAAGATAAGCTGCTGGCACACCAAAAGATGCACAGCAAGGAGAAACAGTTGGTCGGTTGTAGCACAAAATAGATGGTGCAGAAGGTAATCTCATGTATGTATACAGGTGTTACAGAATTCCGAAATAAAATTTGTAGGTATGTATTCCGAAATAAAAAATTGTAGGTATCTGAGCGGGGCGCAGGGACGCCTGGGGGAGAGAGGGGGTCTGTTTAGGTAGTAGTAATCGTACGCATTTATAGGGTTGTCATAGGCAGGTGTAAAACAATATTTTTATTAATTTAATTAGAAAATAAAAGTGGTCTGAAAGGCGTCAAACTTTCGTAGGTAATTCTATACAAGGAACACAACCAAACCCTAAAGTTTTGTTTCGGACTTTTGTCACACCCTGTATACATAAATTTTCATACGGCTACGGCTGCGAGAATTGATCAAATTTGGCTTGTGCAAAAATAATCTGGCATTCGTACATATCTTGTTGTTTGATTTATTGTTGAGAATAAAACTGGAAGTATGTTAATATGAACCAGTAATAAATAAATAAATTGTAAAGTTATCGTAGGCCCTTAGCGGTCCGAGACGTTGTGTCCGTGAGCAGTGTCTTTGTGTGTGTTATAGAGCACACTTTGTATGTAGATTACCTGGTGTACTAACTATTTTGTGATAATAGTTTGGTTAGTGTAAATAGTTAATAAAAACTTTTAGTTAAATGAACATATTTATGTAAATTATTTTTTGTAAATTTTTTGGAAAAGGTTTCTGATTTTGTGTAAAAATAAATGTAAGACAATATCTTATTGTTAATTTTTATTTATATGTATTGGCATCCTGCCTAAACTTAACATCTAAACAATCATTGGAAAGAAAAACAATACAATAGATATAGACTTGTGAAGGTAATCATCGAGCTATTTAGTGATCCATTACTGCTTTATTATAACGCTACTAAGATACCTGTTCTGAAAAGCATCAATGGATATGCAACTTTTTCTTTGGTTCACTGGTAAATGTCAAAAAAGTTAGCGAATAGGCTAGCCGAGCATAGTGCCGCCGAGCCATAAACAATAATCTTTGATGGAGCTCAAATCAACGGCAACCTAATAGTTGTATTTCATTAGAACAATTTCATGGCAATAGATGGCGTTGTAGTGAAAGAAAGCTTTATCCCCCCCCCACCCCTCGTCCAATTTTTTTTTATAGCCAGGTAGGCAAATTACCACCCCACCTGATGTTAAGTGGTGATAAAGTCCAAACGCGAAGATAACTCATACAGCAGTTATAAACTGCCACACCAACCATCCTCACCATGCCGGCCTGCAAAAATGCTTCTTCACGCCTCTCTTAATAGGAGGGGCATGCAAAGACGCGGGCAAAGAATTCCACTTACAAATAGTACGACAAAGAAATGAGTCCTCAAATTTCTTTGTTTGTGTGGGAATAGTGGCCACAGTAAGTTGGTGACTGTAGGCCAGCGCGCGTGGTCCTCTAAAGAAAAGGTGATGGAGGGATAAGGGAGAATAACTCCTCAGAACACTCTCCGTGGTATAGTCGGTAGAATGCGCTTAATGCTGCCACATCGCGGCGTAATTGTAGAGACTCGAGTTTGTTAGTTACCGCTTCATCGCCAATGATGTGGACAGCGCGCCGCCGCAACGTATCCAAGGCATCGAGTAAATACTTAATTATATATTCCTAGCATAGATGAATGATTGCTCTCGCTTCACATCATATAACTATGATTCCTAGTATATTAATAGAGTCTGTGCGGAAAGAGAATGGGAGGTGAATTAGATTGGAGGGCGCTGTAGTGCTTTTCTACCGTATTTGTAAGGTTTTACCCCTTTTAGGCATGATTAAATACAAAAAACCGCAAGAAATCACAACAACAAACAAATCCGTATCAATACAAAACTTTGACGTTTTACAGATTGCTGGGTTTGATTGCCAAATAGAAATCTTAATGTTAGTTCCGTTTTTCGCCACGCCCATTCTCTTTCCGCACAGACTTTAGTAGAAAAGATTAATAATACAAATGAAGTTTTATACAAAAATGCTATTTATTTATAAAACACTTGTACAAAAATCTTCTATCTTAACATGATCACTTTATAGGACTTATGCTACAGTATTTGATTCATAAGTGATTGATTGGGTATATTTGTAAACATCCCTTTGTCTTTGCCATGTTATACTACTTAAAGAGAGATATAGCACTTAAACTAGGACCTGTATAAATAAGTATAGACAATATTATGACCACCAAAGTTTACACGATTCAGAGATTAAACAATTTAAATTATTTCTGAAAAAAGATATTTAAAAATGATTTCTTGTGCACGCTAATAAAAACCTTAAGTGTTTAATATAAGGTCGAATTTTAATGTTCTGATATTTGACAATGAATCGTAATATCGAGAGAGTAACAAATAAATTTCTACTAAAAACGATTTTCTTTGTTTTTCGTCATTCAGTATATTAATAGGCTATTTGACAGTATGAAAAATAATGCACAAATTGTTACATACACAGCAAAATCACAAATTTTAAAGAAAAAATAATCGATAACTTTTCTATAATATCATTAAACAGAAATGATTATTTTGCTGCATGATCACGTGACCGAAAACGCCTGTCATTGGCCATGAATAAAATTGCGTCACACGCTAGTAAACTTCCGGCTAAAGTGGCGTTTCATTGTATCGTTTGACGTTTTAATGACAGTCGTGTGACGCCACACACTAGGGGTGTATTCCGAAATATACAATCAGTATACTGGCCAGTGGTAATGACGTCACGAATCCAACGCCATGTTTTACTGGTATGCCACCATATTTTTACCGGGATCATGAATATGACGTATGACCGAGCGTGCGTGAGATGCATTCGAATTTTATTTCTTTTTTATTTAAAGAACAATAATGGCATCGAACAAAAAGGATAGGAGTGATGACGGGGTACAGTTAACGAAATTCTATTTAGTCCGTCAGTTAGATGATCAAAAAATAATGGAAACGTATTTTTTCTTTGGGCAATCACCAAAAAAATGACAAAGTTATAGCGCGTCAAAGTTTGGGAGTAGGGGCTCGTGACGTCACTTTTGAGTGAATTTTCACTTATAAGTGTACTCAAACGTGACGTCATGCGACTTTTCAAATCAATATATCTCTGGAATGTTTATATTATGTAAAAAAAGAAAAAATACGTGTCCAATACTTTTTGATAATCTACCTGATAAACGAAGAAAAAAAATAGTCATCATCCTCATTCCTTTTAATTGATGAGGTGAATAAAAAATCTTCTTTATTCGCACTTTTTTTAATATTTCGTCGATTTATCACGTCAGTGCACTGGCCAGTATACTGGTATATATTACGGAATACACCCAATGACAGTCGTGTTACGTCACTACGACACACTAGTGAGACGCCATAATATCCAGAGAAACATTTTCGCGTCAACATTGAATTTAGTTTTTTACCGAATTACACAATTGAATTGAAAATATCCACTCTTACTCCATAAATTTAACGAGAGATCGTTTTCTAAAACATATCAAATACCCTATTAACAATAATTAATTAATACACAATTACAACTTTGGCTCTGAAATCCAAATACGCTTGTGGAAAATTAAAATTCGCTTTTTTTTTGAGTTAAGGATAACACCGTCCCATAGTTACCGTTTACAAAAGAAATTGCCATAGGAAAAAAATAATAGAACTATAAGTAGTTTTTTAATCTCCGCCCAAGCTTACATTTCTAACATAATTATTAGATTATTAAATGGAAAGTTGCCTTCGTCAGTCTTTGAAGTTTTAGGCACATAGCAATTTAAATATACAGACAGACATTAAAAAGACGATTCTCTTTAGAATGACGCTTTACCATGATCTGTTTTACAGCCTAATTAATTAAAGTTAGGACATAAAAGAAAAATTTAGTGGTTGTAAATCAGACATCTTAAAATTATATTTAAATATAAGTACTGTAAAAATATAGACCTTAAATAATACCCAATACAAAATTATTATTATTATGATATAATACTGTTCGGATTTGGTTTTGAGTGCTCATTAATGGATTTAAAATAGTTAGTTTTCAGGTGGCAGGGATGATGACAAAATCTTTTTTCAATGTACCCTCAATGTAAATAAGGTACGGACTATAATGCGATTCAACTAAGAATAGGACCGACTGGGCGCCATATTTTGACGTCATAGCTGTCAATTCAAACCAAATAGGTAGAGTGAGCAAAAAAATGTTGCTATTTAATAAAACTTATTAACTGAGATTAAATGAGACAAAACATCAGTTTTTTTTAATAAAATTAATTTACTAAGGTTGAGAAAGAACACAACTGATTTTTAATAGTATTTCTTTATTGATACTGTGTAAAAAAGAAATATTAATCAGAATCTAGCTCTTCGATTTCGCTCATCTCTGCATTACCGCCGGAGAAGTTATGAATAATCCTGCAGGTCACATACGAACATGCATCCTATATGTAAAAGAATTTTAAATCGAGTTTTTGAACGCACCATAAAGTGACATTTGTTTAACGATTTAGGTTATCAACCATTCATAGCCAAAGCTCAATAAATGAAAAAAAAAACAACTAAAATTAATTATCAGCATTTGTTATTGTAGTTTAAAAATGTTTGGTTTTTATTCTAGAATCAGTTGAGTGCTAAAAAAGTGTCCGAACTTTTTTTGCAAACCGTACTTTTCAAGCGACATTTAACAGATGGAGGTCATTGGCTTTCCTATTCTTATTTGAATCGCATTATAAAAGTCTGTACTATCTCAGTACAGACTTTTAGTCCGTACCTTATTTACATTGGGAGATACTAGTACTTAGATAGTATTTATTTTTAAAGCAAACGTGAGTATCGTGGAACACTCGGTTGGAACTAAGTTAAAATTAACATGAGTTTAAGTACAGAACTACACAGAATACGCAACAAAACAGCCGACACGGTCTTGAAGGAAAAAATCTTAGTTTTTTTCGCCTAGCCGCCAACTCCGTACCGTGCGAAAAGGAACTTCTTGCCAAAAACTTGACAGCCTGCACTGAGCTTTGCGCGCGCATCCCCAGGGATGACAGTGTTACCATTATAATTACGAGAAAACTACTAAATGCCTACACAAAAATACTGTTATTAAAAAAATGTACGTATATTAAAATAATATTTAGGTATGTTCTTT